TGTGTAGATCTTTGGCAGTCCCTCTCCCAAACAACCAAATACGACCCCCTCCCCCTTTATAGCGTCCGTGAAACAAGAGAAATCAACTACCAAAAAAATTTTCTCAGACCAAATACGACCCCCCTCCCTCGCGGTCAAATACGACCCCCCCGTTGTGATCATCACAACGATGGCGTGCCCTGACTGGTGGTCGCTGATGGACGCTGCAGCAAAGTATGAAGCAGCCTTGAGCTGTGACCATCCCACCGTGAACGTTCGACTGGTGACGTGACACATTACAACTCGAGCGCTGGACCACGTGTTCGTGAAATGGAAACGATCCCTCAGACAATGGCGAAATAACCTCCAGTGATGTTCGAGCTGCGGCCAAACATCACATGACTAAAGCATAGCGCTCAGGTCATCCCAGAAAATGGACCATCTTCGAGTGGCCGGCAGTAGTAACACTACCACGGTACGGTGGACGTATCCGTTACAGAGCTTTACTGAACCTTCACTTAAATGTCCCATAAAAACAGATTCAGTTCGCTTCCACGACGCAACACCAATGAATCTCTAGTTTCAATCATTAACTCACCACAACTGCATGCTCAGAGGACTGAATGGGAATCGTAAATACTGAGCATACGTTTTTCATAAGGCTGCGTTCATACTTTGCGGCAGCGTACGCTAGCGTTTCCAGCGTTCGGCAGCGGCAGTGACAAGGAAAGGATAGATATCGATCTAGCGTATGCCAGCGTCACCAGCGTGCGCTAGCGTAACGCTAGAATACTCTAGCGTGAGGTAGCGTTCAGACCTGTAGCGCTACATTGTCGCGCTACAACTGTACCAGACCCCAGCTTCCCTTTATGTTCTTTCTTCCGGTATTCAATCCCTTTTTCACTGTTTCTCATTTCTACCTGATTCTTAGCTCCTCTTTTTCACTTTAACATTGAATTTTAATGTAGTTTTTGATACAGGACACTGTGATAATGATTTTGTACCGTTTTCGACTTTAATTATTCAGTCTCAGGGTTGCTATTGATGTCTGATGTCTTGCAGTGGTGTATCGTGGATCCCGATTATTGATCCGATATGAAACTGGTTTTGTTCTGCTCAATGTTCTTATGTTAAAATTTTGTTCTCTTCAATTTCAAGTGTTAAGTGAAAAAGAGGTGCTAAAAATCAGGTAGAAAAGAGAAACAGTGAAAAAGGATTGAATACCGAGACGAGAAATAAAGAATACTTGAAGTCTGGTGCATTCTATCAGTGTAGAACGCCTGCCTACCGCTTTCACGCTAAGCGCCACCGGACTGTTGCTGCAGCATACCTAGACCGATACTCTATCCCTTCTCTTGCCACTGCCGTGCCAACCTATGGAAACGGTAGCGCACGCTGCCGCCCAAAGTATGAACGCAGCCCTACATCTACTATTTCAGATGGCTTGTATTTCATTCAACCTACAAGAACCCATGCTATTCAGAATTCAGCATCACTAACATTGATGACTACAAAGTAGCCTGGTGTATCAAAGCAAAGGTGTTTACCTAATAGCCTATGAATTGCGAAAATTTCTGGTTAGATTCTCATATTGGAAACAGTTCAGGACAAAATTATTAATGCGTGTTCACACAAACACATGTATTTAAAATCCAGGCGAAACACAACATCTTGTGGTATGTATTATTACCCAAAAAACAGTGCATGCAGTTTCACGCTTTCCGAGCGAGTGCGCTATCCGTTACGCCACCAGGGCCGCTTTTCCCTCTCAGCTTAACGGGATTTATCCGTAAGCCTTACATCCTCACACTTTTAAGTGTGAGCCGGTTATCCTTAATCATTAAATATCGGCAATGAACATTTTATGCTTTAAAGGCAAAGCCGCGACCCAGATGTGGTAACGGACCCACATAGACGAAGAAGGGCCTCGGTATCTGATTAGCGAGAGAAAAAGAGCCGGAATAAAATAACATCCTACCCTAAATAGGATTCCATATCGACCCCAACTTGTACATGCATGCAATGAAGAAAACGCATGTTTGTACGAATTTCCACTCGTCGTTATCATAAAGATATACAGCTCCTCTTATCTTATCACCTCACTCTCACCATTCGGAATGGAGAGAGATAGTATAGTGGCTACTAGCTAGTAGCTAGCAGCCGGTTGGGGTCGGCATGGGCCTAAGGGGCGCCAATGGGCCTAATTGGTTAGCTTAAAGCGGAATTCTTGCCGATTTTCACTTTCTAAAGGTAGCGCAGCCTCCGCAATCTCCTTCCGGATCGTCTGACACATTTGAAAGGTCATAGCCTTATTTTATCGCGGAAAGTGCCTTTAAGCACGGCACAAACCCGTAAGCTGAGAGCGAAGCGGCACCTGGTGTCCGTAACGGTAGCGCATTCGCTCGAAAAAGCGTGAGGTCCCCGAGTTCGAATCCCGCTGGGGTTTCGAATTTGCCCATACTCAGCATTCTTGTGAGTATGTATGTAGTGCTCTCCAAAACACCTTCAACCTTTTTTGATGGGGAGCGCTTTTGAGAAGTGAAAGGTGAGGGGATCGGGTCCGATAGACGATCGAGTTGCTGTTAGAACAGAAGGAAGTGTAGGGTCCTCACTAGGTCTCTCTATCACATCTCGGTCACGTCAGCAGAATTCTGGTGCACTACCGGCACCTGAATGCCTTTTACTGAACTCTACAATATGCGCTACAAACAATTCTGCCTGTTCGGGTCTGATGTTGCTCATGTTTCGGAAGCTCATCTCCAACAGATTAGGTGGCAGACGGGAAGGTACAACGATGCATTAGTGGGTGGGCACCGTGGCCCCCACCTCCTCTTGTAGTGGCAGGGGATGGAAGGTATCCAAATGCTTTTCACGCTTCCCATTTTCTCTTCTCATCGCGAGCGTCTGAAACAGTCAGAACTGCCTTGCAGGAAGTAAGCTCTCACTCTATTTTCACTTTACGGTTCATTTTTCTGTAGAGCATTCCTTATCCCGCCAGCAGTAAACCAAGTCCGAACAGGTTCCATCAGACTCATTAGGAAAGGGGCTGTAGCCATCGAACTATCGTGAATCTTCGGGCGAATTCCTCGCCTGTTGTAGTGATTATTTTATCGGTCGCCTGCAGTGTCCGTCATCAACGAAGAACGTACACTCCCATTTCCAGAAGTCAGAAGGACGTGGCTGCGTACTCCACTGGAGCGTGGAGACAAGTGCATTGTTGGAGGGGTATTGCCATTTTGAGTCAATTGTAACCATGACTTTGTCAAGCACAAGACAGGATGACAGCTGCCTCAAAGAGAATATCCCGCCAAAACGCCAACCGATGTGCTCAAGTCCCAAATACGCCCTCCCTATCTCTGGGTTATGCAGTGAACTTCAGTGTGACGTGAGACTCCACTATGAGACCTCTGGGGTCTATGATATTCCGTGACAACAACGACTACACAGACATTCACAAAACGACTACACAGACATTTACAAGCCCACACGACTTAAAAAACGTTACACAGAAAAACAAAACTAGCAATAACACAAAATAGCGCACCCGCCTGCTTGGGCTCCCTTACCTTACATCTCGGATAACCTGGTAACATTCGTACCAGTCACAAGAAAACTCTAGTCTCAGCCATGACAGACAATTGTTCAGTTCTGCTACGGTTGAGCACACGTTTGAGGTGCTATCGCGGCATCAGTATCAAAATATGACAGCTCGGAATTGGAGTTACTGAGCATTTCAGTGAACTTTCAGGTTTACCTTCCGTCATCCGATGATTGGCCACGTGATATCGCGGATTACACTGGGAAGAGAATAAAAATGGTCGTGGAGAACCTCAAAATCCCTGATAATATTTGCCCGAAAAACAAATTAGTGAGTCTGAAAAAGTTGTCTTTGAATTGTGTACCTCGCAATTGTGCAGAGTACCAGACACAGAAGCAGCTTTTTTCCATGAGTGACTTATTATAATTGATTCATGTAGATTTTGAGGGTGTTGATAGCTCAACGGGCAAATAACTAATAAATGTTCTTCAGCTCTCTCATTCCAGGAAAGCAAACGTATGTCACGGGAAATCTTCCATTACACAGCAACAAATAATCCGCTAATTCGCCAATTCACGAAGGTGAACATCGTCCTGCAACAGTAAATCAAAGAATTTTCTCGGAACTGCTATTCATTTTTAAATAAATGCTCCCGGCCATTCTCGTGGAAGTCTCTCATTGTTCGGAGCTTCATATAGGCGAAGAGTGAAAGCACCTTGCCTAGAGTTGTACTTCTTATCCCTGAGACGGAGTAGGCGTGGCATTTGGACATGGCATAGAATGGGTTACTCGTGGGATATTTCAATTCGGCACAACTGTCAACTTGTTCAGTTTTGGACAGAGACATGACCACAATTGTGTCAAATTAAAGGCACGGTCCGCGATGAAAAGCCTAGGTGATTTGCAGAAATGTGGAAGAAAATTCGCCAAGTGAACCATCTATGAAGAGAAAATGCCAAAGGGAACGTTGGAAACGCATTCGTCAGGCCTCCTCTAGCCTCAAACAACGAGGTAAAAGACCGAAAAGACCGCGCGCTGGGACGAATTCCCGTCGGCTGATTCCC